GCTCTTTTCCAGGGAACTAAAAGCCTCATTCTGCTAAGTATGAATTTTGTTCCCACCGCCATACTGGCACCAGATATGGGGACCTAGTGCAGTTATCTCAGAATCTTCAAGAGGCCACTGGAACATTCCTTCGGAGGTTTTTTCTGAGTGCCTCCATGTGCACATCTCCCTGCCAGACAGGGAGATCTCTTCTCCCTGTCCTTGCCCAGTCCCCTCCTTCCTGATTTTCACATCTTTCTTACTTCAGAGGACTCTTGGCTTCCTCCCCCTCCCATCCTCTGGTCTTGTTTGGAAAGGAATCCCATGGCCCACTACCCAGGCAGCTGTTCCTAGTTCAGAAGTCAGTCTTGTTAGAGGCAAGCCCAATCTGATTTCTCCCATAGATAAGCCACCTAGATAACTAGCTTCACCAGTGGAGTCTCTGTTCTCCTCATGCAGGGAGCAGAGGAGAGGTTCTGGGTTGTCTGGCTTCCATTTAAAAGAGAAAGGGAGTAGGAGGGAGAGAGGAAGCTAAGAAGAGAAGGGGAAAAGAAGGCAGCAGTGATACAATGGAGAGAGGAGGAAAAGGAAAAGGCAGGTTGGAGCAGGAAGTGAGGAGCTGGCTGAGCTCGGGTTCTGAGAGAACCACCGCATTAACATTTCATCCCCTTGGCATGGAAACTTCTGAGAACTCCAGAGGGGCATCTCATTTCCGAGCACGAGCACGAAGGTATGTAGACAAAGAGCCATCTTCAGTTTGAAGGCCTCTTTAGTAGGAAGATAAATTCACCATTATGTATTTTTGCTCTATTAAAAACAGATTCAGAAAAACACAAGATTGCAAAAAGCCAGTAGCAGCTGTTCTCAAGGGAGAGTGACTACTTAAAATTCCCTTAAAAATGTAAAATTAGAGTTTAATAACACTTCATCTTAACTGGCATTTAATTTTACTTGAATCATTTTAGGAATGTGATAAGTCACCTCCCTGGAAGCTTTCAAATTGGGAGGTAAAAATCAGGTGGTCATTTTAAACTCATGATTGGAGATAGAACTATTTTTAAGTGATACTTTTATGAATCTAAGATACATTTCCAAGTTGCCATTAAGGGGTCTGTTTGGGTTTGGTTTTTTCAAATCACATTAAAAAAATATATTGTTTATTTTTGCAAGTTGCTAATGAAGCAGGAGTAAGCCAAAAACAAACACATAGCTACAAAGACAGATATTCTCTCAGGTACTTAAAATTCATGTGGATTTTCAAATTTATTGACTGAAAATGATGGGAAATGCCCCTATAGGATCTGTATTTCTTGTTCCAAATGGCTCTGAGCACATTGGGCTTTTTTTTTTAACCAAAACAGCTATGTTAATAAACTTTGAATTTGGAAAATATGATTGGGGAAAGATGTTTTGGATTCTAGTTTGTAGTGATGAGCCAGAACTGGAAGGGGGAGGGAGAAGGAGGTGTTTGAAGGTGGCTTTTTTGAGTATTGAACAGATATGTACTGTTTTGTTCTATACTTGCATAAATGGTTTACTACTTTTAAATCAATAGTGATGCATGAAGATAAGGATAGGAATAAATTTTTTTAAAATGGAAATTTGTTATGAAATGTACAGGGTAGTCTACAGGAGAAGACAATGAACTATTTGGTTATAAGCAATCACTATATATATATGTCTGTGTGTATATATTTGGCATCAGACTCTTAAGTTTATAAACTTTGTGCAAACATGTTGAAATATCAATAGTCAATAGGCTATATTCTGCTCTGTTGATTGAGTGGGGTGACCGGAATAGGATTTTTCCAATCCAAGCAGTGTGAGCTCTGTAGAAATTGCATTTACTAGCGCTGTTTCTGTTGAGAGATGTTTTATTCTGTGTGTGTTTAATGCCAGTGATAATTTAGCGTCCCAACAATGACCATTAGACAAGACTCAGTTTGAGATGAGGCTTCAGGAGGGAAGCAGGGAGCTGAGACAGCAGTCAGGGATTGCCTTGGAAGGCCTCCTAAGAAATGAGGTCATTCAGAAACTTTCCCTTGAAGTGCTTCCAATTCTTGAATTGCCTTTTGTTTGGGAAATGAATAGCAAGTTGATTAAAAAAAAAAAAAAGGGAGAGAGAGAGAGAGAGACAATTAGGGAAGGTAGGGGGATGGGCGTTAAGTTTTTCTTTTTTTTTTTTTACAATGAAGCTAAAACTATGAGGAAACTTATTGTTCCCAACCACCATGTCCGCAGTGATGTCAGCACTCAGTGGACTCACCAACCAGGTCTGGCCCACCAGGGAGGCTCGCTGTGGCCTCAGCCCCTCTCACTGTTGTTGATAAGATCCTTGGCTCTGAAACTGCTTCATTGAACCGGAGTGTTCAGCAGCGGCCCAGTGGAGGTGTCTGCCAAATAACTCCAACTGCCAAAACATGATACCTGATGGCTCATTACTGCATGAAAATTAAAAAAGGGGGCCCCATTGAATTGTTTTAGATTTTTTTTTCCCTTCTGCCAAAGCAGCACACTGAGAAATTTGAGCTTTTCATTAGGTGGTATTTGGTTGGACATTTTTGTTTTGTTTTCATTTTCAAACTCAAGAGCTTCAGAAATTTGTCTTTTTTAAAGACTATTGTGTATGTGCTGTGATCATGGAAACAAAGCTCATGGGCCTGGCTAGCAGAGCTTGTGTGCATGTGTGTGTTTGCGCGTGTGTATGTATGTAGTTTCTTTCTGGCACCTACGTTAAGTGCCTATGCAGTCACCAGATTATTTATGAATTTGGCAACCAAATTATTTAAATGCAGCTCCAGTCCCTAAGCTTTCTTTGGTTTTTGTCCTCACAATATCCCAGGTAAGAGTGAGTTTTCTTGACCCCGGTTTTGTTTCTAACTTTAAATGGCACAAGCAAATGTACTTTGAAAACTGTTACACTGTAGTTGTTAAATAAGGCAATAACCTATGCACTTGTAATTCTTTCTGTATGACCTACTTACATACTACTTCACCCTCCTTATAGTATGATTAAAAGCTGCTTTGAATCCACTATTGCCTCAAGGGATTTGGGGCTAGAATTTAACAAACTGCTGAGAAGGCTTAAGTCAGTAAAGAGGGCTTCCCTACAACTTCTTCCGACTAATTCACATGCAATTAAAGAGGAAATAAATATTTCAGGAGTGTGATGTTAATGAAGCATTTTCTACCTACTGTATGTAGATGTATGTGGAGCTTTATTGCAGAGCTGATTTGAAAATACTTTTTGATTAATGTGGGCGTTTGCTTCTGCAGTGGAGGTTAGTTCTGTGAGCTTGTCTTTAAATTTTATAGGCAGTTCATTATATACATTTGGATTTATGTCAATACTAGCCAGAAAATCGAGACCTATCAAGGTTTGTCCTTGTTTTTTCAGCTAATTATTTTATTAAGATTATTGACAGGACAACAAAAATTCTTACAATTTCAGTGTCAACTGGTAGTAGTGGGGTAGAAAGTAAATGTAGATTAGTATTATTAGGAAATGGTTGGGCATTTGGTTATTCAAATTCATTTTACTTATGTTTTTCAATTCCTTACGAACCTAGACTTGGGTCCTTAAGAGAGAAACTATTTTAAAATGGTTAGTCTAGCCCAACATCTGTTGGAATTAGAACTATCTTGGTCAAAAGCCAGAAAAATAGTTGAGTTGAAGAAGGACCTCAAGTCAATTAAGTATGTGTGAATTAAAGTGAATACCCGAGGCCTAGTACTCATTTTTGTTCACTGCATCAACTCTGATTTTTAAATTGGTAGGTGGGTTTCAAACTGGTATATAAATGTTTTCCTTCATAATATAGTTTTCATTGCACAAGAAATTGATGAGAAAAATTAAAATAATCTTTTCTCCACACACACTTAACTACAAGTGACTTAGATGTTTATCCTCTGGGTTCTGTGATTATATCCTCATACATGTGATATCATTAAAAAATAAAAGGTGGCTACAAAAGCTTACTGAAATATGCACACAATCAACTTGTCATGCAATTTATGATGCTGATTGAGTGTATGAAATAGGCCACATGAAAGGTTTACATCCTTGTGACATTATGAGAAATATGGCTTCACCCAAGTAGCTAAACAAGAATGAGAGTGCTAAATTAGAATGTCACCGAATAAATTTAGCTTTCAGGAGTTCTTGCAAATCCCTTGGGAAAATTAAACTCACCTGCTTCTGTTCATTTGCATGAGTTGCCCCCTTCCCCCCCACCCAATTCAATCACAAATCTTAAGTGGCACTATCACCTTCATGTCATCACACTATAAACCTAACACTCATGAAGTCACTTTTGGTTTTTAATCATTGTGTTAAATAGTAGGACATGACATTTTAGTGATTTATCTTCTTAGACGAAAATATAATTTATTACTGTTATTTTCACTCTCTTATACTTAGTGTTTTCCAGATGATACAAAAAAAAATAATTTTGCAGAGATTGACTCATCTTTCTCCTTAGCTCTGAGAGACAGGTCCCTAAATGTCACTTGGGCTATTTATCTGATAGTTACTTTGGTGAAACCACGAATGCTAGTTCATTTATTATTGTCAGTTCATACACTGGCAAGCATGTCACATCGAGGACCATTTAACAAACACGATGTTAATGTTTCTGGTGACTTGGTTTTGGGAGTTTGGTTTTGATCTAGAAGTGAATTAAGCTTTGGCAATACAGTGGCACCAAACCCACTACAAGCAGTTACTCGGGCCTCGTGCCAGGCGCTCTAGAAACGGAGAATGAAGCGGAAAGGACAGAGTCAGCACGGTGAACTAGTTTGCATTTCAGAGGGCTTGGAGACCCTAAGAAAGTCTGGCTATTTTTAAAACTGGTGAGCTCAGCTCTGGCAGCCGTCTGCCTCGGGCGGATCCCTCCCTCCCGGGACCGGGCGGGGGCCGGCGGGCCCGCAGGGGTTAAGCCGCGGCGCGGCGGGCGCGGAGCTCCGCCTCCGCTCGCCGCACCTGGCGCTCCGCACTCGGGCGCCTCGGCACTGGATTTCGGAGGGGATTGGCGGAGAGCGGGAGGGGAGAGAATGTGACAAGTGCCGGCTCGGGCGGCCGCCGCGGGGAGGCCGCGCGCACCTGTCCCTGCCCGTCTCGCGCCGCCCGCGGCCGCTCGGACGCGCGCACCGCCGCCCCCCGCCCGCCCGAGAGCAGAGCGTGCGCCGAGAACATGACTTCTGCCTTCAAGCTGGATTTCCTCCCGGACATGATGGTCGAGGGCCGCTTGCTAGTTCCCGACAGAATGTGAGTGGAGCCCCGGGGTGCGGGCGGCCGTGGGCGCTGTCCCCGCGACCCCGGCCCGGCGGCTGCTGTCAGGTCGCCTTCCCCGAACCCGGAGGATGGCGAGAGAGGGCGCGGCGCTCCTCCCTGGGAACGCGGGTGGGGACTTCGGATCAGCTGCCGCCCTTGGGTTTCCGAGCCGGCGCTGGACGCGGGGAGGAGGGAGAGTGTCCGGACGTGTGGAGCCGAGCGGTGCGGTGACCCACGAGCAGGCTCGGGCACCCGGAGCGGGGCGCGAGGGCTGGGGTGCGGGTGGAGACTGGCCAGAGGGGCGCGGGCACCGGGTCTGGCCAGCGTGGACCAGGCGTGGACCAGCGAGCTGGGTTCGGTGTCCCGGGGTTGGGACCGGTGAACGGGGTGCGGAGCTCAGGGAACCGTGAGCGAGGCGCGGACGGTCTGGGCGTGGGGTCCGAGGAGCGGGCCGCGGGTCTGGGGTGGGGTGCGCGCGTGCACGCTCGTGTCATTGGAAATACTGAGCTTAATGAGCTCTTGTGGCCTTTTAGAGATCACTTCCTATCAAATTGCCGACTCCTCTGACTTTGCATCTGCAAAGATGCCTTACCTAAGGTGGGAATGTGGAAGGGGAAAAAAGGGGGGTGGGGGAGGAGGAGCGAGCTTTTAAAGCATTAAGGTATCCAGGTGTACTCTATTGCCGAAATTAAGGTAATGTTTATGTAATCATGATGGTTTGTTATGCAGTCTATAATTTAATAATTAATGTGATTCTGGTTGTTTTACATGTCTAGATAGGGTACAGTTTATTGGGAGAAGTAGAAAACTGGATTCCTGAGTTAAGTCTGCCAATTTTTATCTTTCTCTTAATCATGATAGGAAAGTTCTTTTTATCAGCTCAGACACTATCATGTCAATAGGATCTGCCTGTATTTAAGGCCAGTTGTGAAAAGCACAGAAAGGATTGCCAAGAGTGAGACTTGAAAGGTCTGTGCATTTTAAACTTGGAATATAGATAAAATTCCCAAGGATCAGGCAAGAAATTTATAGTGAATCTAGGCTACAGTTAAGAGAGTGGAGGGAAAAAAGATCTGCTGTCCTTGATAAGAGTACATATAAAATGTTTCCTGTTCTACATATTATAACACTTATCATCTATATTCTTTCTGGCATCTTACAGAACCCTTTGCAATTACAGGCCATTAGGAGCTTTATGATCCATTTCCCTGGCAACTAACTTTCCCCTAAGGGGCTAGATTCTTTTTCTAGTATGTTAAATGTTATGAGTTGAGAGATTCTTGAGAAACTCCGCAGTGGCCAATTATTTGAGGCCCTGAGATTAAAAAAAAAAAAAGAAAGAAAGAGTGGGGGAGGGGATGATAGAATCTATTAAATGTGAGTTGTCCTACCAGTCGATATGAAGAATGTTAACTTGCTTGTACATGATCAGGTTCATTGTCTCAACTAAGGTAATCAGATAATGTAAATTAAAATATTGAATTTCCTTTTGGCAGTTTTCTCTTAGAAATTAATCTTGATTAGTAACATTCCCATGATATTTGTTTCTCAAAAGCTCTCTAGCCTATATCCTCTTAAAATCTACATCTTTATAAACATAATAGACATTTATGCATAAGCTAGTTGAATGTTTTGTGTGTTTTCTCTCTGCTAGAGTAGCAGGAGCTGAACCAAATAGTTAGCTTGATCATAACTTTCAATTTACCATCACCTGCTGCATAGGTGACCATGCTCTATCTAGCTAATGAAAGCTATATGAATTTAAAGCATTAATGTCCTTTGCAAGATGCTGCCTCTTATCAGTTAAACTATGAATTGTGAACGTTTAATTTGTCCTTTTCATTTGGTGGATGAATGTGACTTGTTCAAGCTCTTTACTCTGAATAGAGCCTTTGTATCTTAGCCACAGAGTCTTCTAGATGAATCCTAATATAACTTCTACCCCACTTCTCTTCCAGATGTTCATTATTTCCAAATGATATCCTTTGGAATCAAACTCGAATTGCTTTCAGTATTTGTCAGCTATTGCTTAACTGAACTAAAAAGTGCAAAAAGACAAATAGAGATAGTTTTGTTTCCAAGATAACTTACCCTGTGTCTTCTTATCCCTGAGAATATTGCAGCATATTTTCCAAAATAATTTATAATTAACTCACAGTAGAGACTATTTTGTAGGCACAGAGTTGTGTGGGAGGGAATATGACAAGTTGAAAATGCTTGAAACCCACCTAGCAGTGTATCTCATCACCATATTCACCCTATTGAGAAGATAGCTGTGCAGATTTATTATTTGTGGGGCCGGTTGTCATATGTGGTTTATTGCTATTTGGGCTAAATTGCATTCTGCTAGATATTGGCCTATTCCTAAAAGGAACTTAAATAAAGCATAGGGCTTTTTTGGTGTTGATTTTCTAAAGCAGTAGAACATATTTTCAATGGCTTTTTCCCACAGGAATATATTAGATAAGTTTGCAAGATGTAATATGTTTGAGTCCTCAAGGCAGATGAACAAATAGCTTTTGAGATGAATTATTATGCTTGATGGCCCCAAGAGCCATCCAATGTTTAAAGAGCCCAGATCATTTAAGGTTCTATAATGGTATAGAATTGTTACGGCATGTGCTTCAAAGTCTTGGCGTTTCAAGTGTTCACTATCAAAACTGTAAATGGAAATGAATCTTTTAAATAATCTTAACTATGAAAGTTTTGTTTTTGTGTAATTGTAAAATGTCATTTGCAACAAAGCATCATGAATAGAAAATAGAAACTGATATTAAAAATTCTATTTGAAATTGAGGCCATTGGCAGAATGTTTCCTCTTTTTCTTCACTTTTTAAAATAATCATATGTATACATGTGGGGTTTTTAAATGATTTTAAATTTTTAAACAAGTGTAATTTAAGAAATAATGTCTTAGAAAACAAATTACAGGTGGGAAGCTATACATGCAGTTTAAAAGTATTATTTCAGATTTGTAATGTTAAAATAAGATACTGAGGAGCTACCAGTAAGTTCAAATGAAACTCCCAGTAGCCCTGTTGACATGAGAAAAGTGATCCTGAGTATAAATTCATCATCTTGGTGAATTGAGCCTTTTTGCTGATTAAGTCCTAAGTTAGGATACCTGGAAAAGTATCTGTCAGTGTCTAATTAAGCTGGGAGGTGGTTGTGGGACATCATTGCTAAAGTTGAAAAGGGCTTTAGAGACCATCTCCTCAGATCAGCTCATTTTATAAATTGATTATGGGGTATTGTGATAGGCCCAAGGAGGTGAAGTCAGTGATTCCCCTCTTCCCTTTAAAATGGCAAGAATGAGAATCATTACTTGAATTAGTTGATTGACTGCTGTTTGTCACTGTCTCCAGACTCTTTGGTACATCTGCAGGGAGAGTATTGTTCCCATTTTACAGATGGTGCTTAAAGAGGTCACAAGTATTCCCATGCCAGTTAGACAGGTAATGGGAAAGCTGTGTATGTGTGTGTCCATGTTAAATAAATGCAGGTTCACATGTCAATGGGAAATGATATGAAAACTGAGAATTAAACATGACGTAGGTTTTTGTCAGAAAACCAAGATTGTGCGAGAATTAAGCATTATAGGAAATATATATCATCTTTTCAGTATTGATTCTGTAATTTGATTTAAATTAATGAATCAATTGTTCTCTAATTTGATTTGAATTCACACCGGTAGTTCCTATGTTAATTATCTAGAGAGAATATATTTTGATTAAATATTTTTTGGTATTCAAAACGTACTAGCAAGATGAAGGCTATACAAGAAGAGGGCTGTTTTTTTTATTCCCCAGATGGCTTTTAAAGTATATTTAGAAAGTGCCATTACCAATAATAAAATACAGAGATAACAGATTTATTGTCTGATTCTGAGATGGTCCTGAGAGGAAATTAAAATGAGGAGAATCTAAAAGAGGGTTGCACATATGGCTCTTGAAGGAAAAATTTAAAAATGTATTTTCAGGTGGGATTTCTCAGTTAGCAGTATATAATTTTGGTATCAACTGCTTCCTGAGACCAAAACCTCATCCCACATTGGCATTTGAGAACACTAATGTTATCTTTGATCTGGGTTCGCAGTATTATTTTAAGTTTTGCTATTGTAATTTGCGGGATTGAGATTACTCTGGCATCTGTAGAGAAGAACAATGAATTGGGGGGAGCCAAAACTTCACAAGATGAAAAAAGGAGGTAGGATTTTCAGCTCTATACCTAGTAATTAAGATTTCATAGGATCTTTACAGTGTTTTCCACCCCTAGGGTATGTTTGGCTCCTGATAAAGCCTTCAATTTCTTTCCCATTTTTATATAAAATTCCCAAACTTTTCATTTCTCTTTACCCCTTCTTTGTCATTTTGTTTCTTGCAAGTTAAACACTCATTCACTTCTCATCAAAACACAGGTACTCTTTGCCATGCGGTATATTTTGATAACTTTGACGATAGTACAACTAGCTGAGATCTAGCTATTGTGTCCAGACTTCACATAATGCTTATTTGAGGCTTAATATTTATATGTAAACTTGGGAAAGCAGCTATCAACCAGGAGTGGGGGCGTGGGTGGGAGGATGTCTGATAATGCTGTTGGGAATTTAAAAAGAATACAACTTTACAGTTGTATTGCCTAACAACTGCTGGGCAATACTATAAGCATCCCTGTCTGGTTCTCATTTCAGTGGAAACCCTGATATTTTCAACATGTTTCTAGAAGCTAGGTCAATGTCACTGGGATATTGTAGTTGACATGCTGAACCTCACACAAACTTAAAGTCTTTATTTCCGATTTAGCGTATTAATATAGAGGGTTTGGGTTATTTTTCAGAGGCGGCTCACAATTTTGCTTTTTGTTTGCAGATTAGCCAGCACAAAGGGTAAGCCATTCCTCGGTGCAATATTTGTTTTACAAACCTACAGAAGGGAGGGATTGAAACTCTAATGATTTCCAGTTCATTAGCACCTACAAGTTCCCCTGCCCTTCTG